TGCACCGCAGCTGACTGCTGCCTTCCACCATACTGATCACATAAGAATGAATTTACCTCGCATATAACAAATTTTTAGTATAAAAACAGTCATCACATAACAGCGAATTCCCACATACAGAACCTGCATAAAGTGAGGGAAACCTGTACTAGGCTCCAGCTACTGCTTTGAAGAACACTGCATTTCTTCTCACCCACATGGCCCTAAATGTAAAAGAAGGATGTCTGAAATGTCAACCCAGATTAAAGTTTTGAACTGAGAACTCTTTGAATGCCAACGAATATCTGTGTCAATGAAACTTAATTTGATGTGCTGAAAATTAAATTTAAAAACAAAAGCACACCCTGAAGAGTCTTTCCCAGTACTGCTGGAAACATTTGGGGACAAGAAGAATGAGGAAGTACTCTGTGTTCAATATGAAACTGTTGATTTTCACTCTTTGCTTAAACTAAATACATGCATTTCAGCAACACAAGGGCTCCTGCCCAAGACAGGCTCCACAGCACTAAGTACTATTCAAATGTTAGTAACAGGTAGCCTCTGCCCTTGGAGAGCTTACAGACTAAATAGTCATATTGCCTGTGACGCTTCCTAACAGACCTCAATGTGGCACTTCAACTAGAAAAAAAGAACCAAGAAACAGCAGTACCTGCCAGCACCAGTAAACAGGACTGAGAAAAGGAACAGAGAAAAATCTACCTCTTTCATTACGGAAAAATAAAATCAGCTCAGTTCTCTGAGCAGATCAGCTCAAGATAGGCAGCACCTGCTTCAGAGAGCACAGCCCAAACTCCAGAGGAAGTACGAGCAGTACTACTGGTAGGACAGAGAAAAGAGCAATGTTCAATTTCCACTCTACGATATTGGAGCCACGCAAGTGATAAAAGTATATAATGAAACAGCAACATACTGGAGAAAAGTCTTTGTTTGGAAGGAAAAAGCCAAAACTACATGCAGTTCAATACAGCCAAAACAATGTTTACAAAGCCATGACCTCATTTATACTTTCCATCCCCTATCAAAATAATTTTAACCATTATTAATTGTCATATTGAATGTAATAGTTTGAATGCTTGTAATATATACCCATTAGCCAGTTTAGAAAAAAGGCAAGGTTCATCTTTTACCTAGGGTCATTGCTTGTTTTTGCCTACGTGGTGAATGTCTTGATTTTGAATTTTATCTTTAGAGGCCTTGCAACGAATGTGCTGAATGTCTTGGTTTTTGAATTTTAATCTCTAGAGGCCTTTAACAAAGTTAACCTAAAAGCAACCCTTAGGCAAACATTCAGAGAGATCGAAACCTAGGGACTTTTGGAAAGGGGTTGGCAAGAGGTCACAGCAGGGGTATGGAAAATTTCCCAAAGACGACCCTGGAAAGGAATCTGTTGGGTAAAAGATCGGAGCCCAAATTTGGGAGTAGTGATGGGTTTGGGTAGGAGGGATCCAAGATGGCATCTCACCCAATAAAAACTGTAACCTACAGTCCCAATTTGGAGGTAACCTCTCTTGCAGAACACCGAAGGAAGAATTGCAAGTGTAGGCCGGATCAGACTGATCACCTGAACCACCCTCTCCGTGAACAAGAGCTCCTGTTCACGCTGAAGCCGCGGAGCGCCCGAGTGGGACCGAAGGAAGGGGGCTTGTTCCTATCACTGCTGAGACCAACCCTAAAACCATAACCAAAGAATGAAAGTATCTTTGGGGATCAGGTTTCTAGGAATTCTAGGATTGTAAGTATACCATGAGAAATAACCTTTACTTGTAACTGTAGTTGTTTTTGTAATACTAATTCTGATAGCATTGTTTGGGAAGGAAGTGCGTTTAGAGCATTGTTTCTAATATATGTAGTTATTGTGTTTTTAATGTTTGTGGTTTTTCTTAAAGCTAAGCAGTGTTATATGCGTAGGAAGGAATTTTAAAATAAAATTGTGTTGTATGAATTAAGTGTGCAATCTTTGTGAAATCGTGCATCAACCAAATAGTCCCCCAGCCAGGCGCATCAAACGACTCAGTAAATTGTGTGGGATCTTTCTTTATTCCATAACCCACTAAAGACATTAATCAGAATTAATAATGTAATGCTGGTTTCTCAGTTGAGAGGTAGCTGGCACACGGGACTGCCCTGGAGCTGTGTTCCCCCACCCAAACCTATCTTCTTCCTACAATCAAATACTGGGTACTCTAGTTATCAGTTCAAAGGCAGAGGGATAAAATTCAGAGAGATGAGCCATACAAAGTGCTGCAATTTCACAGTACTCCTGGATCCTTAATTGAAGGCCTCAGATTCCTCAGGACTCAGTACACACACAACCTGATTTTCCAGGAAACTGAAGCATCCCATACACAAAAATGGCACTATTTTCATAGCCAGAATCACTTCTGTTTAGAGGCCTAACAGGACAGTGCCAGCTGCCAGACTGCTGGCAGGGGTGGCGCAGCTGGTCTGTAGCAGCAGCAGCAGCTATTATTTTTGCACCCTCCATCTAAGTTGGTACCTGGGACTGCTACCCTGATTGCCCCCCATTTTAGTTATACTACTGTTTCTGTTTAAGGCCACTTACTTTAGCTGGCTCTAACTTTAAGCAGTTCCTCACAATATCTTACTGCAATGCTTTTGTTACTTCAGAATTTAAAAGAGCAGAGCTGCAAAACATGATTGACATACCAGTTTTCAAACCACACTCCATATTCAAACCACATACCAGTTTTATCCCTTACCAATTTTAACAGATGCTTAATCAGCTTCATCAGGATTAATAATATTTATATATTTTCATAAGAGAGAAGAGAATCAGGCAGATTACTTTTTAGTGACTGGAAGAACTCAGATGGCAATTTCTGAACTTTATTAAATGAAGCCTATTCAAATACCAGAGAGTGACAGAGTAAAAGTTATCTTGAATCTCTGGAGTCTGTACTGAAAGGCCACATTTTCAAAACAATACAGAGGCATTTTGTGTGTCATGTTCTTATTTTTCTTCAGCAATTCCTTGTTTTTATGCTATTTACTTCTCATACGAAAAAAATCATTTGCAAGCACTATAAAGCTTGGAATAAAAAAGCTAGTTTCACATGCATATTAAATTTGTTCATTTTTTAATTAACTCATATCTACTGCAAAATTATTATGTACATATCTGCAAAGAATATTCATACATATTTTAGCTGAGGATTGACAGAGTTTATGTGCACATTCTTTGTATGGATGTTACTAACAAAATGTTCCCCTTCCAAGTGGTTAGAAAACCTATTAGATAAAAATCCTAATATTTAAGGGCAAAAACCGAATGCTAGCTGACAGTGATACGAAAGAAACTATGACCAGGTCATTCAGGACTGCCCACCTTAGGGCTTTTTGTACCTTTTCCTACACCATCTGCTACCAGCACAGCCCATACAGAATACCGGACAAGGCAAATCATAAACCCTTTACTGATTTTCCACAGTCACTGGCTGCTATTACTTTTTCAGGTGAGTAAACTTAAGTGTACTAAAACAAGTTGTATAAGAGATAATTCAGGGAGAGACTGAAACAAAAGAGCTAGATTATCCAACCTCACTTCCATATAAAAGAATACTGAAAACTACAGAATTTACTTGAATATAAGACAAGGATTTTCCCCCAGTCATCATGGGATTGGGGTGGGGGAACCCCATACCTTATACTTGCATACAAAGTGGAGGGAGGAGGTGGCAGCTGCTGTGGCTCCAACTCTGGCCTGAGTCTGGGTCAGTCACACCCACGCCAGCCTCTTTCCCCCCCCACCGCCCGCCTTCCCCTCTGCAGCTTCTGCCTTCCTGCCTGCTTGCTGTCCAGGCACAGCTCAACTCTGGCTGCAGGTTGGGTCTTTCCCAGGCATGGAGCACATGGGAATTCTTTCCCTTGCCCAGCTGATCAGCAGCACCAACACTGCTGCATAGCCAGGCAAGCTTTCCACGTGCTGTGCTCCAAGCTATCTGATGGTAAATGGAGGGGGGG